AGAGAGAGAGAGAGAGAGAGAGAGAGAGAGAGAGAGAGAGAGAGAGAGAGAGAGAGAGAGAGACCACAAGTTCGGCGCAGCCAAAGTTGCCGACTCTCTCTCTCTCTCCCCCCTCCTGGTCCCCACGGGCACATGAAGTCGACGACAATCACAAAGTTGCCGTTCGTTTTTTCATTTGTTTTTTAATATTTTTTTGGTAGAATAAAATGGTATCTTTTTTTCTTTTTTTGCAATTTTTTTTTTCTTTGGAAAATTGCACGACCGGGCGGCCGCGGGAAGATCGTCCTTGAAGCGAGGACAGGTGGAACGAAGAATCCAAAATGGGCTCCGAGGACGGCCTGAGGAGTGTCTAAGGAGGCCCAAAGTTCAAGTAGAGCTACACTGGGCCAAGGTCTCCCTTTTTTTGACAAACCCGGGTGAGGTCCCAGTAGCAAAGAGGACTGGATAGGGAGTCCGAATTTGGACGTCTTTTATGAAGAGATGCAGAACAGCAGTTCAATGGCAATTTTATCCACCCCTCCACAAACACATCCAGATTCAGGCGTTGAATCCGACCGTCTTTGCTACCGTAGTGGGACCTGGCCCTGGAAGCCCTGGCAGCAAGGGCCATGAATCTGATGTAGTTGCGAAGCTCCGCAACGCAGGCCGGGCCCGAGGCCCGGGGCTAGGTCCCACTTGCACGAATTAAGAGATACTGACCGTAGATAGCAAAGATCAACGGCCGAAATCTGCTAATTTGCGCAAGTGGGACGTTGCCCCCGGACTGGTAGGAAACGGTCCACAGCTGACCACCTCCTCACTACAGCACTTGCCGACAAAAGTGGAGGGAAAATGACGCCGTGCGCGCCTGGCGTCAACGTGGTACGTGCGCAAAACTGCCCGGTTTTGAACGCATCCGGATGACGGCACGTCTCTGTACGGATCGCGCACCCGGCAGTCTTCACCTTCAGGTATTCTGAAATCCAGGCTGAGAAAAAAATAAAAATAAAAAAATCCAGGCTGAGCAGTTTTTTTTGTTTTTCTCTTTTCTCTCCTTTTGTTGTTTATTTGTCAAACCAAGGCTGAGGTAGCTTACTTGCGCTGCAAAGGAGGAGAATGACGTAGCTGATTTTTGCAAATGCCTCTTTAAAACGCACCAGGATGATTACTCGTCCGAATACCGATCCAGCACCTGGCTAGAAAACCCCTCATGTAATGGAACTGGAAGGGTTGCCGTAATTGGGTGGCACGCCATCATTAACGACTTATCATTTTTTTATGTTTTTTTTATTTATTTATCCTTACTTATCATTTCAATGAAGGCGACACAACTTGTTCATACTTGTGTTGTACAGCCTCGTAAATAATTAATCAGGCTACTACAACGAAACGCATGCGATTATTCAAACACACATCACTCTTATCTACTCGTACATATAGAGAACTGCCTAGTGAACCATAGGCCGAAAGGGCGAAAGGAAACAAAAAAAAAAGAAAAAAAAAAGAAAAGAAAGGGCGAAAGGACGAGAAGTGGGGGCTTTGGTCGGAGTTTCACGGACTTGTCAGGAGGCTGAACCCTCGTATATATATATATATATTCATACGTATATGATAAACCGCATGTGATCATTCAAACACACAGCAAGTGTGATTAGTCTGTGTGCAATTTGGATGATCGCTGATGCCTGCACGTGGATCACCATCATGTGTCACTTTCTTGTACTGTGTGTACCTGCTGTCAGACTGAAGGGACTTACTGTAGTACTATGTCTCCACTTGTTGTAGAAATGTGCTGTGGGGAAACGTAGCGTAGCGTAATAAGGCTGATTGGGTTGATTGGGTTCTCCTCGTCTCGTGTGTCAATGGCAGCCACGTGTCCTGGTGGAGAGACGAGAAGAGAGGGCCAAGAAGAAGATATGTAACAATCAACGTAAAAAAAAAAAAAAAACCATATCGGGCAGGTGACGGACGGAGGGCAGGGACAACCGGGGCGTGCGTGAAGGAAAGGGTGGGGCAGGTCAGGGGAGGGAGGAAAAGCTACTCTACCAAGAAATAGGCCTCTGGGAGAAGGACGTGTGCAAGAAAAGAGAGGGAGTGGTAGGGGAAAGGGGAAAGGGAGGGGAGAGAGGGGTGGTTGATATTGTGTGCGGGAGGTCAGTAACGGTGCACAGCCGCCATGGCGGTGGCGAAGAACCTCCTTCGCCTGGACAGTTGCAGATTCTGCTGCCGGGGGGAACTTACCTCCTCCTCCTCCTGCTCCTCCTCCTCGTCCTTCTCTTTCTCCTCTTCACCTTCCTCGCCTCCCAGTTCTACCACCTTTCCATCGGCTCTTTGTCGACCGACGGTGCGCGCCGAGCATGCGTCTTCATTCTGGGTATCAGCAGGACCACGTGGCAGCAGCAGCAGCACCGTGGAGATCGCTGCAGGTTTTTCCACAGGCGGCAACAGCGCCAGGAGAAGGAAGAAGGAGGTCAGGTACAGTAGCTCTGGAGGCGGCGATGGTGGATATGGTGGCGGGAGCAGAAGAACGGCAGCAACAAGAGTCAACGTCGGCAGGAAGCGGACTCAATCCTGCCCTCTTTCGCGGGAATGCAGCATGGAGGGAAGCTTCTCTTCCCCCTCTTCTTCTTCTTCTTCTTCTTTGTCCTCGTCATTGTCCTCCGTGGTGTTAAGATGGCGCGCATCAGGAAGGCGGCGGCCATCGCAGCAGAGCAAAGCGGCGGGAAAGACGGCGGCGGAGGCAGTTCTCCCTGTGCACAGCGGGTTGAGGATTGGCGGGAAAGGCGGCGGCGGCGGCCTGATTCCTGACACGTGTCACGCAAGTACGAGCACACGATTGTTCGCCGCTGTGCTTGATGCCACGATGGCGCCGGATCGCCAATCTAATGATTGCGGCGGCTCGGAAGTTAATCAGATAGGAGGACGAAGAGGAGGAGGGAGAGGAGGAGGAGGAGGAGGAGGTGGTTGTCGCGGACAGGTGACTATGATGCCCATCGGAACCCCCAAGGTGCCGTACCGCACGCCCGGGGAAGGAGGATGGCAATGGGTGGATATCTGGAATGTTCTTTATAGGGAGCGGATCATCTTCGTGGGCCAATACATCGATGAGGAATTTGGCAATCAAGTGCTTGCAACGATGTTGTATCTGGATAGCATAGATTCCACAAAGCCGATGTATTTGTACATAAACTCGCCGGGAGGCGAGATTACTCCGTCGATGGCGCTCTTTGACACGATGGAAAGTATTGCGAGTCCGGTCGGGACACTGTGCTTTGGGTATGCCTACAATATGGCATGCTTCTTGTTAGCGGCGGGAGAGAAAGGCAAACGGGCGGCGATGCCGATGACTCGTGTCGCATTGCAACCACCGGCGGGAGCGGCGCGGGGACAGGCGGATGACGTGCGCAACGAGGCGAACGAATTGGTGCGCGTCAGGAAGTACATGTACGGGGTGTTGGCACACAAGACGGGTCACGATATCGAGAAAATCACCAAGGACTTGAGGCGAATCAAGCGCTTTGATGCCAAGGAAGCCATGGAGTACGGTCTCATAGACCGAATTATACGGCCGATTCGGATCAAGAAATCTGCACCGCCCAAGGAAGTCGCCACATCTGTTCCTTGACATGCCCAGTCCTCCACATCCCGCATACTGCCATTCACCCTGCTGCAGCTGCGTACCTGCCTCCTGCTGCTGCTGCTGCTGCTACTGCCTTGTTGCTGATGTAGGAGGAAGAGAACATGTAGGACAGGATTTTTCTTCCTCTCCTTCTCCTCCTCCTCCTCCTCCTCCTCCTTAATCTTCCATGCTGATCAGTGGAGCGGCAAGAACAGGGGAAAGGTATTTAGCTCTTCTTATTCTTTTTCATTTTCGTCTTGTTTACTGATTAGATGAGAGGAGTGATCAGGGTAAGGGTATTTTACTCTTTTGCTTTTGTTTTTTCTTCCTCTTCTTGTTGTTCTTCTTTCCTCCTCCTCCTCCTCCTCTTCTGCTGCCGCTGCTTCTGCGGCTGTCGCTGCTGCGTCTGCTAGTGATTAGTTGATGGAAAATCAATCGCTCAGAGTGTTTGGTTTCCCCTCCTCTCTGCATCCTATCTCTGCTCGTTTTGTTTTGTGCCCTGTTTGCCTCACCGGAAATCCATCGTTTAAAAATGTATGGCGCCAGTATTGTTTTCGTCTTTTCTGTCTCCTTTTCGCTGAGTCATCTTGGCTTCTCTCTCCACTCCTCTCTGCGTCCTATCTCATCTTTTTTGTTTTTTACCATTTCTCGTTTCATCCTGTCTCTTTGTTTCTTTGTGACCTCCCATCTGCGAGGCTTGCTAACGCCCGAGCGGCCAAGGGCTGCTTTCTTCCCCTCCCTCCCCTCCCTCCCCTCCCTCCCCTCTCCCCCTTCCGTCAGGGCTTTGGATTGGCCTCATGGGGTAGGAAGGTGGCACGTGTCTGTGTTTTGCGTCTATCTCTGTCATTCGATCTCTTCTGCTTAGCTTGCCGCCCGCTGTCATTGCACCCCAGCGGTTCTGAGTCTGTTCTGTGTGCCAAAACCCAGGAAGACGGTGATGGCCACGAGAAGAGACAAAAAGATCCTTGCGTGCTTTCCTCCCCTCGACTTGGATCGTGACGATTTACTGTGGTACTGTGCTGCTTACTGTGGTAATTTACTGTCTACTTCGGTAATTTAATCTCTGCTTTGATAGCTCTCTATCTACCGTGGTACTCTGCTGGTTATCTGGAAATTGTCCGCACATGATTACATCAGTAGCAATGTTTGAGATAATTAATTCTTCTCTTCTTCTCAGCGTGACGGTCGTACAGCTTTTGCTCCTTCCCCTTCAGACGTGCAACTAGACGCGCTGCTGAGCAATAGGTACACAGAACTTTCCTGCAGACCATATTCTTCTTAGATCAAAGACGACAAACATAGTATGTGTATGTAGTATGTACATTCTTCGACGGAGTATATCCAAATATTCAATTCCTCCTTTTGTTGAAGCATTCTCTCTTTCTGTCTTTTTTTCTCTCTATCTCGCTATCTGTTTTGTACTGGTCATCTGGCGTCCGTTCGTTTCTTTGCCCGTCTTCCTTAGTCTTTTTCTTGCGGTTGTTCTCCTGACCCTCTCTGGGCCCTCTCTCTCTCTCTCTATGTGGCTATGGCTTCCCTGTCTTCTACCGAATGCCTCATCGCCGGTACGTGCACTGGGGTGGTGTCTGTCCTTCCTTCGCCTTTTCTTTCTGCCTCCTTTTGGGTATAATATCAATTCCATGCAAACTGACCCATGTGTCTACGACAGTTTCCTGTTTTTTTTTTTCCCTGCCTGTTTTTTTTTTTTTCCTGCCT